TTTCAATATATATTCTGTACTTTATGTGGAATGAAAGTCTTGCAACATAATTTCCTTCAACCAGTAACATTTCCAGGAAGACAGAATGACATGTAAACATGTTAATTAGGGAGAAACTACATCAAGAAAAAACTATATGATTCAGAGTTGTGGATGAGTGGAACAAACTCCCGAGTACAGTTATAGAGGCCAGAACGTTGTGTAGCTTTAAAAATAGGTTGGATAAATACATGAGTGGATGTGGGTGGGTGTGAGTTGGACCTGATAGCTTGTGCTACCAGGTCGGTTGCCGTGTTCCTCCCTTAAGTCAATGTGACCTGACCTGACTAGGTTGGGTGCATTGGCTTAAGCCGGTAGGAGACTTGGACCTGCCTCGCATGGGCCAGTAGGCCTTCTGCAGTGTTCCTTCGTTCTTATGTTCTTATGTTCCTTCAAAATCATTTTCAGTGTCATATGTTCCTTTACTAGAGGAGTGTCGTAGTAGTTGAGAAGAGCTCTTGATCAAGGAATTGGAGCTACCCTCCCACTATTCGGATTAATGTTCCGTTTCCCAGATGCTACAGATGCTATAGTGTGCCATATGGGTATAGCACTTCCACATTAAAAATAATTATAATGAATAATAATAATAATAATGATTAACTCTAAGGTTTTCTGTCTCAGAATCTTATAAACTTTAAATAATAAAATAAGAATATAAAGTCATCAAGCAATTATGTTTGTAAAAAAAAAAAAAATAGTATGTGTGTGTCAAGTATGAGAATGAACATTATTTGGGTAGGTGGCTGCCACCTGAGTCATATGAGACTGTCATCTACTCCACATTTATTGAGAGATAATCAGATAAGCTATGGTATAATCCCAAATAGGTACTTTATCTCCTCCTGGGACTTGGTCACAACCTACCTAAGAGTGGATTCCAACGTGATTATAGGCCGCGAAATATATTTTATAATATATAATAAAGTATAAATTATTGGGGTTAAGCTTACTAATATATTTATTTATAAAGTTATAGAGACAAGTAATAACTGTTACCTGTTACCTAGGTTTACAATTAACTCAAGTTTGTATTTCACCAAAATGATTTACCATATATTTCATGTTTCTGATATTCGTGAAAAGTTTCTAAGTAAAAAACCATAACACTGTGCGGGTTCGGAACTACGCTGAAAGAGAGTCACAAAAACTCACATCCTGAATCGTGTACTAGCACTACTAGGAGAGGTACTGTATACTTCTTTATCGTGGGTTCTAACCTCACCCGTGGTATGGTTTGCAATCGTGTCATTACGATTTCGTGAGTCAAGTTACTAAGTCACTGGTAGGAAAGAGGCATTTAATACTGGTTTGTGGTTGACCTTATCTTAGAAGGTATGGAATTAGGAGTCATAATTACTGCAGGAGGTAATGTCGAGCAATAATCAGTTTGTGAATATTATGTAAAAATGGAAGAGTTTATTTATAGGCAGATTAAATTAGTATTTACAAAACCCTGTATAAATAACATTAAATTATTCTAGTATCTAGAGGCAATTGCTTTATGTCAAGTCAGTCTCTACGTCATTGACACTCTGATCCCTCCTTTCTGAATGTGCTCACACATTACTAAATCACCAACCAGTCTCTCCGCCATGACACTCTGGTCCCTCCAGTCTGAATGTGCTCACACATTATTAGATCAATCACAAAATCTATAAAAATACAGTTAAATATAAAAACATAACATGATTATCTTACAGTGTAAGAGAGGTTGGAGTATATTTACATAGAGTTATCTTAATACACTATATATAAGAGGGGAACAGGTCTAAATATTACACAGAGGACATACGACATATCATTGGTTATAAGAAAACTAAATTCTCTTTTGATTTGGCACCTCATAAATGGATGCAACTTGGTTTAAACTATCTAAGACTATATGAAATTTTACACAGAATACTGAAAATAATCAATATATATATTTAGCCACCAATGCCTATCAAGAAATTTCAATACATTAAAAAAGTTATTACTTTTGGCATTACCATTACAATATATCGAAACACTGGATATGTTCAGCCCACAGAAATTCCGTATATTTACATCAGTATCATTAGATAAAACTTTACAAGAATATATACAAGCATGAAAATGGAAGCATTAATTAATTAATTAATGGAGACAAGACTTTAGCAAATTAAATTATTAAAGCATTTTTCCATCCTAGAATTTACAAACTGATTAATTACCAGAAGAATTTTTCTACTTATAATACTCTCCTTTCTGTATTTAAATCATGAAGAGGAAGATTTTAGTGAAGAAATGTCAGTGTTTAGTTACACTTCGTCTGTCTCCACGAAAATAGTTTTCTCAAACAACTTTTGTACTGAAAGAAACACAAGAACACATACACAACTTATCAGTAATTAGGGAACATTATTGACCATAAGACACTTCTCTTAAGATATAGACTTTATCTTTATTGAAAAACTAAGCTGCAAGCCACTGGAATTACACCTGTTTCCTTATTAGTATATAAACTAATATAAAAGATACGAACCTAATGATTATCTTTACAACGTTAACCTTGAGAGTGATAACTATTGTAGACTGATAATTATATTTTATCAATGGAAAACAATATGATATGTTTCATTTCTTTTAAAGCAGCAGATGATGATGATGATAATAATAATAGTAATAATAATAATAATAATTGTTGAATTATAGAAATTTGACAATTTTTTTCATATATTTAACCTGCATTCTTACAAGTGTCTGCCATCAACGTGAGGTTCACATTATTGTATGTTTCATACATTGAGGATAAAAGAAAATATGTATGAAAAAAAAGTTACATAATTAACATTGCCATAACATTATCTGCAGGAATAATTTAACATTTTAAAATACCATTACATAGAACTCAAAGATATTTCAATTAGATTTACTTGGAAGCTCATAAGGTGGCTTGTGACGACGAAAACATCTTAAACATATGAGAAATTAAACATCTTCTCAGATCACTGGTTATAAACATTCCAAATCCCTGATAATTGTGAGTCACTAAATATTAGAACGCAAATTGGTTTAAGACTCTGTATGTATATTAGATTTATACATTGTAAATCATACGTGGCTAATGCACGTTAAGCAATAATTTAGTTTTCTCTTAATCATATTAAAAATCTATTTTGTTTATAAGATCGTCTCGAAACTAAATAGTTAAAAAAAACTGAAAGCGTGTAATGATCACTAACGCTTGTTACGAGCACCAGATGTGTGCTGGTCGGACAGTGTTTCTCGTGCAACTCACTGGCAGCAATAATGATATAAACTGGGCTGATGAGCCTTGTTGTACCTTGACTTTTGTGCTGCTCTTCTACCGCCAATTTGGTTATGAGGAGTGCCACCAGAGCTGCGTCAAGGAATTTGCGTTGTTGCATCACTCTTGCGTCAGGGTGTGTTAACCGCTTAGCGTTTTACGGCAGAAACTCTTTCTTGGCTTTATTAAATCCTCATGCCCACTCTTTTGAACGTTACACATTTACGTACATGTACTGCTTGTCTCCAGCCTCACTGAGCTAGAACCTAACATGCTGTCGGCTGGAGATCACACATGTATTTTCAACGTGTTTGCTATGCTACCCAAATATATATGTAATGTCCATAACCAACAAAGTGGTTATCACTATAGGTTAGTGTTGAATTTACGTTTTAATTAATAAGTGCCCAGATACCATCAATGACGTCCCAGAATGTTTGAGAGAATAAAATGGACTTTATTAGTACATACCGAGCTTGTCAAGCAAGGCTGAGGTAACTTACTGAAAACTCCCTTTCGTCATTAGCACCAGAAAGGGTACTCATTAATATACTGAGAGAGAGTTGGAGGGAGGCACACAGTGCTACATGAGCGGTGAAATGACTGGTTAATTGACAAGCGACACAGATGCTTCAGTGGTGGTACTGACCGTCTGAGAGGCTGTCTAATAGTGATTGGGGAGTACATCTTACCCTCTGCGTCTACCCAGACATGCCGCTGTAGCTTGCGATTTAAACGTATGTAATGCTCAATAAGGGTGATAACATGAGAGAATTCAGGGACTTTTGAAGTCATGTGTGACTCACAGTCAAGGCGAAACTTACCACCAGTGTAATGGATCCTAACACTAGTGGGTCCCCGCTCTGTCTGTACACTAAGTGAGTACAGGAACCTGGTGTCTGCTGAGTCCCGAACAATAAAAGTACCTAATCTGGTGATCTGCAAGAGTGTTTCTGCTTGACGCCAAGATAACCGCTCCCAATACCAACCACTCTTTACTAGAGCCTGTCTGGTTGCACTCAGCGCCTGAACCTCATCCCCGTCTCTCACACTACTGAAACTGTCCTGTATATCTCCCCGATACATCTTGGTAGCTGTACTCTCGTCAACTATACCCCCACCAGATGTGTGCATGCGGGAAGTTATTGTCTGGGTAGCGATGTGACTTCCACTATCTGGCCACCTCCAGGCGCCACTGCAGGCGACTCTGCAGGTGCCTACGCAGTGGGAGTGCACTGACGCAATACACGGTGAGGGGCAGGTGTTCTGGAAAACTGAAGAACTTGGCATCTGTACTGAGGGGAAATGGAACATGTGTCCACTGACGTGAGGTGTTGCTAGAGGGGACGGCTGCTGCAGAGTGCCAACACCCAGAGGAACAGCCCCTAGGGAGGTGCCCATGATAAGGGTGCCGGGAGCCGCCGAGGCGAAGGAGGCACTTGGTGTTGGCAATGGGCCGTGCAGGGATGGTGGCACTGACGGAACACCGCAGCACGGGTGAGCTGCCAGCACATGATGGCAGTTGGGACACGTCAGCATATTGGCAGCACCTGAAAAACAAATCAGTCATTAGAAGGTGATTCATGACCTGTCCCGTCATACTCATTATGACGCTCTCAGGTGATTTCCCTTTAAGTTCCAGGGAATAAAATTAAATTTCACGTTAGAAGTAAATGCTAGGGTGCGAGGGAGTGGGGTGGGACGATAATATGCTGAATCTAATACAAAATGGAGTTGGCACAGTTACTTTTTGCTGATATTATATTTTTGAGAGATTCTGAAGAAAAGCTGCGAAGGTTAGTGGACGAGTTTGGGAGGGTGTGTAAAGGAAGTTGAAAGTGAACATAGATAAGAGTGAAGTAATCAAGGTATTAAACGAGTTAGGTTAGGAAAAAATTGGATATCAGATTGGAGGGAGGGAGTATGGAGGAAGTGAATGTGTTCAGATATTTGGGAGTGGACTTGTCGGTGTATGGGTATATGAAAGACGAAGTGAACCAGAGAATTGATGAAAGGAAAAAAGGTGGGTGGTGCACTGAGGTATCTATGGAGACAAAGAGGCAAAGAAGGGAATGTATGAGAGTATAGCGATACCAACAATCTCATATGGGTATGAAGTATGGGATGTGAACAATGCAGCGAGGAGCACGCTGGCAGCAGTGGAGATGTCGAGTTTAATGGCAATGTGTGGCATAAATATTATGCAAAAAATATGTAGTTTGGAGATTAGGAGGTGGGAAGTTACTAAAAGTATTATCCAGAGGACTGAGGAGGGATGTTGAGGTGGTTTGGTCATTTAGAGAAGCTGGAGAAAAACAAGATGACTTGGAGGGTGCATAAATCTGTAGAGGAAGGAAGGGGTGGTAAGGATTGTCCTAGGAAAAGATAGAGGGAGGGGGGGTAACGGAGGCTTTGTGTGCAAGGGGCTTGGACATACAGGAGGCATGTATGAGAGCACTAATAGGAGTGAAGGCAAAACGTTTTTGGGACTTGACGAGCTGTTCGAGTGTAAGCAAGGTAATATTTTGTGAAGGGATTCAAGGAAATTGCATAGCCGGATTTGAGTCCTGGGTGTGGAAAACACTGTGCCTACACTCTAAAGGAAGGGTTTGAGATATTTGCTGTGTAGAGGGACATCTAAACTGTCGTATCTTTTAGCTTCTGGTAAGCCAGTGATAGTGTGAATGATAGTGAAACTATTTCTTTCTCGGGTTACACTGCCTCGGTGGGAGATGGCCAGCATGATATATATATATAATATATATTTTGTATATATATATATATATATATATATATATATATATATATATAATATATATTATTTACTAACACATCGGCCGTCTCCCACGAAGGCAGGTGGCCTGAGAAAGAAAAACTTTAAACCATCATTCACTCCATCACTGCCTGCCAGGGGGGCGCTTACACTACAGTTTAAATCTGCAACATTAACACCCCTCCTTCAGGACTTAAGTCTGGTCAGTCGTTTCCCTGAATCCCTTATAAATGTTATTTTTCTCAAAGTCCAACAGCACGTTTAAGTCCTAAAAACCATTTTCCTCCATTCGCTCCTATCTAACACGCTCAAGCATGCTTGCTGATAGTTCCAAGCCCCTCTCACACAAAACTCCTTCACCCCTCAATCCAACCTTTCCTAGGCTGACCCCTACCCCCCCCTTCCCTCCACTACAGATTTATACTCTCTCGAAGTCATTCTATTTTGTTGCATCATCCTCTCTACATGTCCAAACCACCTCAACAACGCCTCCTCAGCCCTCTGGGTAATATTATATATATATATATATATATTTTAAAATATATATATAAAATAATATATATATATTATTATATATATATATTATTTGTACAAGGTATACAGGCCAGCTGACATCAATAAATACTACTATACAGAAAGCCGCTTGTTATGCAGAGCATTTCGGACAAATTAGGTCAGTTTTGACCCAGGATGCGACCCACACCAGTCGACTAACAACCAGGTACCCATTTTACTGATGGGAAACCCATGCAACCGGTGTAAAGAAACACGCCCAATGTTTCTACCCTCGCTGGGAATTGAACCAGCACCCTCGACGTGTGAAGCGAGAGCTTTAGCCACCAAGCCACGGGGCACACTAAACTGGTGATATCACAATATGCAGAACAACCACTGTGAAAATATAGTGAAATTCCAAGTGTTTTCGTGACTTCTAACATTATCAAGGAACTATAAAAATAAAATATCAACAGGAACGTACATAAGGGCAAGACTGGTATAAACCTTGGTAATAAATGCCGACAAGTTGGTTTAGAAAGACACGTAAGCAAACACTATGACATATTTATTAGAAAACGTTTCGGTCCTGGGCCCTTGATCACTTCTAACATGTTAGAAGTGATCAAGGTCCCAGGACCGAAACGTTTTCTAATAAATATGTCATAGTGTTTACTTACGTGTCTTTCTAAACCAAGGGCAAGACTACACCTCACAGTCGTCACAACACCCAACTCTGTGAAACACAACTGATACTCTTCTCAAGCATTAAGATTTTTTACTTGTGTAATGTATCATTAAATTCTTCCAATAGAAAGCACAGTTTCTATTAATGAGGTCAAATCTGAGTGGGGATCGGTCACTTGTGGCGTCTCATTGTTGACTACAATTTACATTAATAACCCTGATGAAGGAATTACAAGTGACATGAGCAAATTTGCTGATGATACAAAAATGGGCAGAATAATTGATTCTGACGAAGATACCAATGAACTTCAGGAGGATTTGGACAAACTGATGTCTGGGTCTGAAAAGTGGCAGATGAAGTTCAATGTAGACACGAAAATAACCCTTGAAGTTATAAACAAGGTGAAGTAAAGCCGGATCACACAGAGTGTGAAAAGGACTTTAGAGTCATGATGAGTAGAGATCTGAAGCTAAGAGAACAGTGCCTAAGTGTGCGCAATATGGCTAAAAAATTACTTGGATTTATATCAAGTATAAGTAACAGGAGTCCAAAAGTTATTTTACAACTCTATACATCATTAGTAAGGCCTCACTTGGATTATGCCGCTCAGTTTTGGTCTCCTTACTACAGGATGGATATAGATTAGTTGGAGAACATACAGAGAAGAATGACTAAAATGATTTACTGTAGAAGGAATCTTCCATATGAAGATAGACTTAGAGCCTTGAATCTTCACTCTCTTGAGAGACGTAGACTGAGAGGAGATATCATCGATGTCTATAAGTGGATGATGGGCATAAACAGTGATATTAATAAAATACTGAAGATATCAAATCTCGTAAGAACCAGAAATAACGGGTTTAAGTTAGATAAATTTAGATTTCGAAAGGACATAGGTCAGTATTGGCTTTCAGAGTTGTCGATGTATGGAACAGTCTTCCCAGCAGAGTAATCGAGGCTTGGACCCTGGGTGGCTTTAAAAAGAGATTGGACAGCTATATGAGTGGGAGGGGTTGGGTTTGATTGGTGTGTGTACGGGAGTAAATTTTTGGGTAGCTTTGGGAAGGGGTAGTTTTGATAAGGACCTGCCTTGTATGAGCCAGTAGACCTTCTGCAGTGTGTTCCTCCATTCTTATGTTCTTATGAGAGCAAGATAGAAACCTAAATAATGAGCCCCATATCCTCTTCCTCATCTACTTAAGAGAACGTCAGTTGGAGGTCGCAATATGAAGGCCAACTTATCTTCCATGTTTCTGTCTGAACATGGCAGCAGTGATACTGTGTCGTGTAGGTGATAAAGGTTAGTAAGAATTTTATACAGGAAAACGCAGGAACATTTTATGCGAGGAAACAATGAGGAATATATACACACCTATTTGATAGCAATAAACAGTGTAAATCTACAAGAAGGAAGAAGCGTATTTGGAAGAGAGATAAAAGTTTCTGAATATACGTTAATATACACAGTTTATTACAAATATTAATGTCATTGTATATATGCTGAATTCGAACCTTACAGAGAATATCAGACATAATTAAATTTCGTATTGTTTATTCGTATGAGAAATGCAGGACAGGTATTCAGCACAAGACTTAAATATACACATTATACATTAGAACCAGCTACACTCGCGCTAGTTTACACTACCGCTCAGGACCAGCACCTGTTCAGCAGCAGGGCCTCTCAAGCTCAGTGTGGACGATGAGGATATCCTCGAGTGTGTTAGAGTGCATTAAGTAGTTATAGAGTTCCAAGTATCTCAATGAAACAGGTCTGAGGCCGTGAACTTTGAATATTCAGCAGTGTGTGAGCTCCGTGTGGCCCGCATTCCGGTCACCATCTGCTCCAGGTAGTGCGCTTCATCTGAGGTCTTGCTGACCTTGCACCTCGTGTACCGAGGTTTAGACAGATTGTCTTCGTAATGTAGTCACCTGAGAGGCCAGACACAAGACAAGGCTTCATTTGGATGACGTCTCGCTCTAAATAGGGATTTTTAGAGTCAATACAATTCGAAAAAACCTCTACTTAAGAGCAAACAGTTGTCGAGACTAGAGGTAATTCGGTCCCTGCGTGATCCGAGAAAGGTATTGCCGTATTCCATAATCCCAACCTCCGGTACCTCAATACGCGCGTTTGGAAAAGTGCAGAGTGCGGCATAAGTTGACAATATAGTTAAATATTAATGCTGAAAATTTGAAAGAGAATCAGAAGAAACATTCACAAGTCATCATTGGGAAAGTTGAATTCAAATTTCAATAAAAATAGTAAATTGGATATATATATATATATATATATATATATATATATATATATATATATATATATATATATATATATATATATATTATATATATTATATATATATATATATATGTCGTGCCGAATATGTAAAACTGGTCAGTTAGCAAGAACTCATTTAAAATTAAGTCCTTTCTGAAATTTTCTCATATTCGTTTAAAGATATACTTTTTTCATTAATGTTAATGTAAAAAATTTTAATTTTACACCAAAAGAATCTTAGAAAACTTACCTAACCTTATAATAACAAGCGCAATTTATTTTAGCCTAACCCAACTAAATATATTTTACATTTGTTTACAATAATTTATTACTAAAACAAACACTGTGAAATACGTTTTTTTTCATTAGGTTCAGAATGATTTTGGCGAAATTATTGCATACACAAATTTTAGCTTATCCTATATGGCAAGATGAGCGTTGCTACTAAAGCCA